CTTTGGTGATGAAGTTTTGCCATCAGTAGAATTCCTTATTGAACAAATGTGGAGACGGAGGGCCAGAGGTGAAACCGATCCCTCTCAAGTCCATGATCCGCATGAAGAACACAGGCCCTCTGACCCAGGAAGCCATTTTCCCTCCATCACAAGTTTGGGCAACCATGGGTGGCCATTGTTTTTTGAAACGACTTTGCTGACGTTTGTCACCCATCATGTGCTAAAATATTATAATGATCATTAAATATTGTTTTATAATGGAATCCCTTAACTAGACTTTTTTTTTCTTTTTTTTTTTTTTCCTTGAAGAAACAAGCACTTTGCCTGGCCCCAGGGCCATGATTTCTCCTACACACATAGCACTCCTGCCCCTAGGAATTAAACTGTAAGTTTTGATGGCATTGGTGTTTATGAAGCAATGAGAAAATGCTACTGAGTTTTCTGTGACTAGGGACCAAAGATAGACTAAAAATATGAGAACTCAAGTCTAGAGAAAAAATATTAAGAAGGATATGGTTAAAGTCTAAAAACCATCAAGTCAAGTAAGGTGATGAACCAAAATGTCCATCAATCGCTGGGTAAAAATTTTAAGGAGAGTCCCCTGAAGGTTGGAAAAAGTGGGTTTTAGGATAAATAAAGGGAAGGACGACCATGTCACATTTGTGGAAATCACTGTCACCTGGTGATAGAGACTGAAAGATGACTTCGAAAAAGCAGATTAGTTATTCACGGGTGAAATGGAATTTTAAGGGAAGTGAGTGGGCCCTCGAGCAGCATCCCTAACCTTTGAAGTTAACCACAAACCAGAGAATTAAGCTCTTTCAAGAAACCTCAAGGCCATTTTCACTTAGAATATACCAGCTTGCATGACAGTGGGTCAGACCAGACCCATTTAAGCTAGCCTCAAGTTCCTATTGAAAAGCAAGAACTCCCTCAATGGAATGCATGTTAGAGAATCTGTTAAACCATTTCTAGATAAATAGAGGGAAAAGGTGCAGAAAGAATCCGTAGCTCAAAAAGTTCACCAACCCAATATAAGAATGAAGAAACTCATTTACCAGTCCCCAGGCTCCCCAAGAAACAGCAATCAACTTTGTTTTCCCCATCGTCTAGCTCAGTGTCTAGCATCTAGTAGGGTTTAATAATCATGCAGTTAACAAGCTCTGCTCTGAAACTATAAATGTGTCCCGGAGAGTGTTAAGCCTATTATAGTCATTTATACCACTGTGGGATTAAAAAATGTGGGATTAACATAACAAATCTCAGAAATTATCAAAGCATCTAGGTTGGAATGGTCAGGAATATAGAACAGACCAGTAACAGCCCTTGACTCCTAGAAAACTAACCACCAAAGCATCGTACCTAGAGAGGTTAACTATAACTTTAACTATAATTAAAGGCCAAACTCCAATACATCTAAGAAAACTTAAAAACATGCCTAGAAAAAGAATTAACTTAACTAAATGCTACTCATGTAAGGCCAAGAAAAACATTTGTTCTAGGGTTTTCTAATCTAATTGCTGTTAAGATGAATTTTTAGCGAGCATATTGCTTTGTCCTCTGATACATACACCCAAAACTCACCCTTCTTTTGGGCCTGAGCACAATGAGGAAACTCGTTAAATATTTACCAAATAAATTACTAAATGTATATCAGATCTGGAACCAAATGTCATTGAGGAATATTACAGTACTCATTTCAACAGTAAATAAATTTTATTTAAATTACCACTTATTTAGCACCAGTGATTTCATCTAATGTTTCTTTTCCTCCCTTCCTTCTCAGAGAAGCCAGGACTGTAATTATCACTTTGCTTCAGAAATCATGACCACTTGAATCCTTCTTCAGCCAGACCTGTATAGTAAACTCCGTATGACCACAGAATCGGACAGCCTCTGCCATACAAAGAAGCAGAGTCCGGGGACAGTTGTCCAGAACTGCTCCAGGCCATCACATCGGACCTGTGAGTGGAAATCCTACCTTACTCGGGGGGTTGAAGCAAGAGTGTAGTGTAGGGACACGGAAGGGAGTCGCAAGTAGGAGGTGACAGTTTCAGCTGGGGAGGCAGACATTCCAACAGCCAGCAGACAGTTGATAACGGTGACTTCTATGACATAAGTCTCTCACAAGGTAAGGATTCCAGTGGCCACTGTTTCTTACAAGAACAAAGGCTTCCAGTTAACACATGGCACGGTTTGTGAACTGATGCAGAGCACGGACCTGTACATAATGCGTGCACACGCGCACACACACACGGAATTAAAGGATTATTAGGATACCGCATGTCCAAACGCTGCCAAAATGTGAGCCCAGAGAGATAATAGAAGTGCAAGCAACAGCAGTATTAGAAATTGAAAGGATTATAGCAACCTTGCTCCACACGATCTCATGTGCCAACAGCTGGGCCACAAAAGCCTGGCAACGTTAGGCAGCCCATACTGTATATTCCATTTCTTTCTGTTTGCAAAGGACAAACATCCTAAAGAACCATCCCCCCTCCCATCTCTTGAAATATCAAGACATCGGGCGCCTGGGTGGCTCAGTTGGTTAAGCGACTGCCTTCAGCTCTGGTCATGATCCCAGGGTCCTGGGATCGAGCCCCACGTCGGGCTCCCTGCTCAGCCGGAAGCCTGCTCCTCCCTCTCCCACTCCCCCTGCTTGTGTTCCCCCTCATGCTGTCTCTCTCTCTCTCTCTCTGTCAATTAAATAAATAAATAAAATCTTTAAAAAAAAAAAAAGAAATATCAAGACATCAAAAGGTCAAAGGTTCAAGATTAAGGAAAGATCAAAGCAAAAAATCAATATACCTTTTAAAGGAAAAATAGATAATTATACATATATACTATACTCTTAACACAATGTGGGCATTAAGCAGCGGGGCAGGGGGTTGGATGGAGAATGAGAGAAATAAACTAACTGCTAATAAGCAAACTCATAAATCCTAAAACCTCAAATTAATGAGCCAAGCACAAAGCCATAACACGCAGATCCTTACATGTGCAGCTCTGCCTAAATTATGAGTATCTCCAAATGACACTGTTACGGTCCCTGGTCCCAGGGAAACAGAGGAAAGTGTCCCCCCCTGCTGCCTCCACCAGGACCTTCATTAGCTCCCATGGCCAGCAACCAACTGCTGACCAACAGCCAGCAGAGGGAGAACATGGAGGCTTGGGGCGACTCGGGGCTCTTAGAGACCAGGGACCACAGTGTCGGCCCAGAAGGCTGGTTCCAGAATTGCCAGACACAAATGTACACAGGCCTCACAAAGACCCTGTATAAACAGTCTGCTGCTGGCAACAGGATGGCCATGGGATCTCCAACAGAGTGCCAAGATCAAATACAATCATCACGGGCAAATTTGTGAGTGGTTATTTCCAAACGGGGCATACAAATGTACACTCGAATTTAAAAGAAAAAAAAATAGCGTAGATTCAGTATAGCCACAGAATTTGAGGACTCCTAAAGGGATCTGAGAGATTTCCCAATCCAAGTCTCTTTCTAAACAGTGCTGTGCTGTTAGAGGTGACTTGACCAAAGGTAGAAAACAAGTTGGTGGCGGAAGTAGGACCCGACTCTCCCCACAGTTTGTTTAGTGCTTTTTCCACTTGGGGAGAGTGACCTTCAAAACTGGCCAGATGACAAAGGCACAATTTTATTGGTCACCGTGATCGCAAGTGACAGAAGGATGCAGCCATCATTTCCGTAAGAGCAAAGCACAGCTGAAATTCTGAAGAAGGTAAAAGCCTCAAATGTATACATATTTTGTGGGGTTTGGGGTTGTTTTGTTTTTTTTTTTTTTTTTGGAATTAACATTAAATTGTGGAAGCCCTTGCTTTAATCTGAGTTTTAGCGGGGAATCTGTTGCTTCAATCCCAGCGAAATCTATGCCTTGTGGAGCCTAATTTAAAATGTGAGGCCAAACATATCTGGAAAAGTACAGCTTTATCCTTCTACTTAATTTATACTATAGTGTGCTGTAATTAAGCCTGAAATAAAAGCTATATTCTGAGTAAAGACAAAAAGCTCTTGTTAATGACATTCCATTCCCGATGTAGAAAACAACAAAAGGCTTCTTCATTTGGAGCCAAATGTCATTATACTTTGTAGCTTGTGTGGATAGCTATTGGACTAATATTTGTACTGGGATTAGGGCTGGGATAACCAATCAGTTAACTCCTCCACTGCAGTTTCCTATTATCCTCAAATAAATGGCCAAAAGGAAAAAAAAGAGAATTGGCAGGCAGAACGACAACTATATTTATGAGACTAAACTCTCAAACCCTTCACAGTTTGCCGGGCAACTAATAACCATTTGCCAAGCTGTTCATTTAATAATGAGTCACTTAAGCCAAAACCAAATGTTCCTGCAACCAACCAATTCTACCATAGTCATATCCACAGTCAAAGCTCCAATTATTTATGTAATGTACGTACTTCCTTTAGAATAAGAAGAACAAGTTGCCGTGGACAAAAAACAAACTCCTCTTCTTAGCCAAAAGCAAGCTACCCTGCAGTATTTTGAATAACTGAAATGTGTAGGTCATTTGGTAATTTCCGAAAGGCAAAATGACCGAAAAGGGCTTGGGGAGTAATTCCTATCTATGTCACAACTCTGGACGGAGGGCCAGAGGCTCTCCAACCCAGCTCTGCGCTCAGCATCACATGACCTTCGAGTTCATCTAACGGTGTCTGTTCCCTGGTTTTCCAAAAGAGAGTGTCAGCGCTGAGACCAGGCCTACCCTGGAATTATGAGGACTGAACAAAACCCTGCTTGTGATAGCAAAGTGAGTCGTACAGTATACGACACAACTGTAAGGGACGGTATAATTCATCAGGGGACGAGCAGCGATGTGGGCTGCTTTCCAAGAAATACATGTGTCAAAATAGGAGGGAACACCAACTTGCCTTTGCTCTCTCTTCCCCCTGCTTCTCTGGCCCAGCTCTGCATACCCATCAGTGAAGAAAAGCAACCGGCGGGTATCCTTCACTTTTTACTTACTAATAGTTCATCCATACTGGTCTGGCATTTTTCCAAGTTGATGCGCTTTATTGCTACGCGTTCTTGCCGGGGCTTGCAGAGAGCGGCCTGGACTACGGCCGTAGCGCCGCTGCCTGAAACAAAAGAAAAACAGCATCAGCTATCCGGTGGCATGCTGTCTGGTTACCAGTCACGACCCCCTTCCTAAACAAATACCTATCTTTTTTTTTTTTTTTTTTTTTGAAGTCTTCTACTCAAGGTATTCAAACCATTGCCTTTTAACATATTCTAAAAGAGTCTTGAGTCTGAAAATAATTATCTGTGGGAGAAAAAGCAAAGAGCAGACTGCTCGATGGGATAGAAAAACAGTGCCCGCACTCCAGAAGCTACAATCCACATCAAAAAAGCCCATTGCAATCCAGCATGTTTCCTGCTGCCCGAAACAAAGGCTGATAAAGTGACGGGTCTGAGGTCACAGGGACAAGAGACGCGAGCCTCCAAGCACAACACTGCCTGGAGGCCATTACTGTCTCTGGCCCCCAGGATTCTCTAACTTTAGTGCCCTTAAAATACCTCGAGCTCTTCTTCCATTTCAGCCCAAACCAAACCACTCCAGCCTGAACGACTTCAGGGTTTCCACGAGACGCCGTGACAACTTATCTGCTCTGAGTGCTCTTTGAGCTTATTCCTTCTAAGCTTGCTCTACAATTAGAAGAACAGGAATCAACCCGAGGATTCTCATGTTGAAAGGATGACTTTCAAGGATGCCAAGCAAGGGATGCAAATGTGTAATTACAAAAGCTCTCGGCATTCACATGAATTTCCTATTTCTAAGGTTTCATGATCATTAGCTAATGCACTCAAACTCCTAGGAGACAGAGTCATGTCATTATCCATATTTTATAAGAGCAAAATGTAGACGTGTAATGATTTGTGGCAGAGCACAAAGAGCTCCTAATCTGGTTTGTATTCCACGGGGGCAAAAAGACCTCTAGGTTAAGGCATCTCACTTCTGCAAAGAATACCAAAAACCTCCTTAGGATCACATAAATCTTCTACCCCTGCAAGACAGCCAAGCAGAGAAACAGCCTGTGCTCAGGAGTGTGCAAAAGGGGGCCCAGATGTGGCCATGCACCTTTCTCCTTAAAGCTTTTCTTCGAGGACTACTTCTCAAATGAGTCATCCAGTATCATCAAATGGAGGAAGGGGCAGCTTTGGGCAATACAGAAGGGAGATCAGTATTAGCTTTCCTTACAGATGTGATAGGCAGGCATGACATTTCTAGTGAAAATCAATCCTTTCCCACACCAAGGAGGTAGGTGCCCAAGTGGGTGTCTTTGGAGCTGAAAGTCTGCCCTTTCTTCTGTCCTGTGGTCTCAACATCCACTCTGGCCCCTGGATCTGGTGTCCCAAGCAGATCACCCTATGCTCCAAAACCAGGTCTCCAACTTCAAGACTCCCATTCCAGGAAGTCCAACCGGTGTTCACCAAGGAGGGAGAAAATCCATATATACTAACCACCCCCTGTACCGTAGGCACTTTATTCATGCAATTCTCATTATAAGCCTGCACATTTTTTATTCCTAGCCTCGTGTTATATGTGAGAGCACTGGGACTTGGAAAGTTTGCCCACACAGCCAAGCGCCTGGGCTGGGGTCTGTGTCAGGTTGGCCAGACTCCAAGCTCCATGCTTTTCCCTGCTTCCCATAGGCCAGAACCCACACTTCCCTTCCCCGCTTGTCCTGGCCATACAGGACAGAAAAAAATGTCCTACATGCTTGAACAAAAAAAGAAACTACCTACAGGGAAGATTCAAGTGAGCCTTACTCTCTAGTTCAAGGAGGGAGTGCTATTGTCAGAGGTTGTTAAAAGGGCCTCCCTGTCCTTAATCTCACTGCCTGCCCCATCAGCTACTATTCAAGTCCCACCATATCGGTCTTGGCCCTACAGATCAGAGCGTGCTGGGTTCAATCCAGAATGCTCTAGATATCACAGCCAAATACTACAAAGAGGCCTGCTGATAGCAAAGTGTACTTTCCAGTCAAGGTCTCCAGAACAAGAGACCATCACTGACTGAGCCGCAGAGAAAGTGGTAAGTAACTGGTTAGCACTGGGCCTGGTATCCAGCAGAGAAATCAACACACATCTTTAAGTTGCTGCTGATGGGAAGTCATTCTCGGCTCTACCTGTTGTAGTCTCCCACCCAAATCTACCCCCACCCCCACCGAATCCTTAATCCACATCCGAGAACATTTTCAAAGCAGGGGAACTGAAAAACAGGAAAGGCAAGAACACACACTCCCAAAAAGGATAACACAAGTGCCTGTAAGAGGGGGCTGCCTCCCATGGCCTGGTAAATCCTTGACTATAAAAGTCTCCTGACTTCCACAGACACATGCAAGAACGCAGACAAAAATAAGAATTCTGGACAGAAAGAGGCAGCAGGAGAGAAAGTCTTTTATTAGAGCTTCACAACTAGAGAATTGTTATTACTTAACAACTATAACTGACTAAAGAACAACCAGCAGCTCCTCATCTCTAGAGAGAATAATCCTGGGGTTCCTGTCATTTCGTGAATGCATATCACCACTCACTGGACAAGTCAGGAGACACCGCTTTGACCCCAAAGATTTCCCTCAACTGCAAGGGAGATCAAGAACAACGACAGAGGGGCAGGGAGCCTTAGGGACCATCAAGTCCAATCCCTAGCTTTATGGATGAGGAAGGGAAGGGAAGAGCACCCTCACCAGAAAGCACCTTGATCTGGATTGACTTCCAGCCTCCGAAACTACGAGAAGTCAGCGCCTATTGTTTGAGGCTCCCAGCCCCTAGTGTTTCGTTAAAGCAGCCCGAGCTGACTAATACAGAAACCTTTCACTGTCAGTTCTACTCCCTGCCCTGCTATCACCTGTGGTAAATAATGCCGTACAAATTAGAAATTCTCAACAACTGCCTAATTAAGTCAGAGCAAGATAAGGTAACATTCAATGGAAGGGCTTCTGGTGGGCCACTATAGCTCCCAAATCTTAGGTTAGTAAGACCCCTGAAAAGGAGGTTCAGCAAGGATTCTACCCTTCCTATCCTTTCAATCCTGTACCAATTTCTTCTATGATGTTGGGCTTAATTTTTCTCTAAATCTCAGTTTCCTTAATGGGCATAATAAAATCTACCCATGAAGCTAAATAACATCGCTGGAAACATCAATTCAGTAAATGTTAGGCTCTCTCTCTGGAATGCATTTCTGCACCCACACAATTAAGGAGGCAGACTGTATCTATAGTTTGCACTAGCGCGCCCCCCTCCCCACACCATCACCACCACCCAGGGAGAAAAGAGAAGGCCCAGTAGCTCCAGGTCAGTACTAAGTATCATTCTGCTTACAGGAAGATTCAGTTGGTTGAAAGAAGGGAAAAGGAGGGCTAAGTTCAAAAACTGGAAGACTAAATGATTTCTAAGGTCTGAACCAGCATAATGAGTCTAAGAGTCTAAAATATAAGAGAAGAACCCAGAGAATTCTGGAATAGCTATGAATTAAGATTCTATAGCTAAACTTCTTATTGATAAGGTACTCTGATATCTAACCTAAAAATTACTTTAAAAAGTCTCTGTCTACCTGGATTGCAGGAGTTCATAACCTAGCCCTGCCACATAGTAAATGCTTGTTCTTCGACGACTGACTTAACTCCTCCATGCCTCAATTTCTTCATTTGTATGATGGAGATAATAGTACAGAGCTCACAGGGTAGCTGGGAGGATCACATGGGTTAATACACGGAAAGCCCTTGGAACCGTGTCTAGTACATAGGAAGCACTAATTAAATCTTAAGTTATTACTTTTCAGGGAAATCCCTCCAACTGGTGTCCAGCCAATTTGTTGTTCTAATGCTACATATTTCACGATGTTGACGTACCATAATTTGTTCAACCCTTCCTCTATTATTCCTTCTCTTTATTTCCAGTTTCCCCTCCAATATGAATAACATAGCAATAAACAGCTGATACTTTATATACATATTAGTCCATAAGAACTTTTCTTTATGTTAAAGTTAGGGCGTGGCCAACTGTCCAGTACCTCTCCTCATAAATGTCAGGAATTAAGAAACAAACGAAATAGATATTATATTAGCCTATAACATGAATAGTGACCAGTGGAAGGAAGCTGTCATCACATCCTACTTAAATGAGGAGCACCGAGCCAAAAATTTTCATACAATAAGTTTGCCCAGCTCTTAGCACATGGATGGACTCCTTCGTTATGCTTACCTGTCTTTTCTCAGTGCACAGTGTCCGGAGCCACGTCAGGCTGTCTTTTTGGATGTGCTGGCTGGGGAATGGATAATTAACAAAACAAATGGCTTTGGTCCAGCTGATGACTTCTTCCAATTCTCTCCTCATCCAACTTACTATAGGTGTTCTATCTATATCACGTGTCCAACCTCAAAGCCCATGAGGCCAGTCAAGGTCACGGGAGAGCCGGAAGCTGGCCAGCGTGTGCACAGACACACACGTGCACTCTGTAGGAACAGAGCTGCCTCCTACCCCCACTAATGTCGCCATGGAAGTTCGCCGACCTAGCACGGCAAGATTCTGAGTTTTGCAGAGAAGCTGAAAACTCAGAATTTTGTTTGAAATCTCCTAATACGATAAGGTTAGCAATTAAATTTTTTTTAACGTAAAAGCATTGTGAGTCACATAAAAGCTTGCCACAGGCTGTATTTTGCCTCCCTGTGTAACTACTATTTGGCTTCAGAGGTACACCCTTCCTTGCCTGGTGTCCAATTTTTAAATTATTTATTAGCTTACACATACGAAGTTGCCATTCTTCTCAATCAAAAGGGATCACATTTCCAATGATTCAACATAATACATGTACATACTCAGGATATGGGCCCACACTGATTTACTACATGTGGCCGTGTTGCCATCTACCTTATCCCACTATTTCCCACCAAGAGAAAACCACCAGGGCTATTTTCCTGTTGTTTGGTACGTTCTATGTGAAAGGAACAGCACAGTAAACTATCAAGTCAAACATAAAGAAGAGAGGCTGTGAGACAGGTGTTATACGCAATTTGCTATATGGATTCCTTAATAAAACAGACACTCCTGCCGGCCTGTCTGATAAGTGGTACAC